GGCTCCTAGTACTCCTTTCACTTCAGATTACAACATTATAAATTATAATATGTGTCACTCAGAGACACTCAGCTTCCCACAGGGATTACTTGGTCTGAGCAACTTTACGTTAACACTTGGCGTAAACTGACCGGCCGCTTGGTTATACAACAGCCAGAGCAGAAGACAGGCCAGAAAGAGCCAACTCACCAGGGGAGGGCTGGCCTCCCCCACAGAGGAGCTTATTACCTCCCCCTAATCAACCTCCGAGACGGGTGTTTTCTATTCTATCTTATTTCTCTAAAGCTGACCAAGCCCATCACACACACGGAGGAGCACCCACACTTCCCACCCTGAATCCTCCAGCAGGAGCCGTCGTCTGGGGGCCTCACAGGACGCGTTCTCTCCTGCGCTCGCGATGTGAGGCACCTTCATCACCGTGGGCTTAATCGAGAAACCCTGTCATTTGGAATGTCTCCCAAAGAATCAGATTAGGCCTAATTACACTTAATGGCAGTGGCTGCTGCTTAATTTGGTGGTAATTCTGCGTAATTGAGATGCCTTCAGGTGTCTAATGGTGCTGCAGGCGGAGCCTGGGGCTGGCGGCAACCTGGGTGCTCGCCTGTGAGCATTTCCCCAAATAAGCAAAGACAGAGGACTGTCTGAAGCTGGTAACACGGGACTCGTGGAACTTAACGTGTCAGTTGTTGGGTGCTGAGAATTGACAGCATGTCTATGAAATCTTTACAAAAACCTATGCAAATATACAGAAGACAAGAGGGAACATGGAAACTCCTAAAATGAGCCCACTAGCGTCTGGCGAAACAGGAGGGAAACGAGATTTGGATCAAACCGTGAACAAAAGTGGAGCCTGGTGGGGACGCCGCTCCCCTGCTCTGACACCCGCACGTCTGCAGGAGGTGGACGCTCACAGCCCCCAGCCCTCGGCCCTGTCACCTGGCTCCCAGGTGACTCCCTCCTCAGCCCCCCTGAGAGCTGGAACCTGGGCATTCGACTCAGTTGGACCCGAAGTGGAGTCGGCTACGGACTTTCTAGAAAACTTCCTCCGTTTTTAGGAAAGAACTGCCTCCTTTCATCTGGTGACCCGAGGGGGACACTTTCGAAGGTCTAGATGGTGGGTCAGAAAAGAATGGTGACACCTGGGCCCTCGACAAGGTTACCAGGCTCCTGAATTAACCCTTGAAGAGCCCAGCTCTGCCCTTTTGTTATGTGAACGAATGTTTCCCTAAGATCTCCTGGCTCTCAGTCAGCTGTTCCGTGACCATCGGCCACAGAGATCTGCACCGAGTAACCTGTCAGCCCGTTTCCTTCCCGTGCTCACCACAGCGAGTGGGCATCGCTCCGAGCAGGAGGGGGGACGCTAGCGAGGGGCCGTCCCGGTGTGGTGAGCGCACATCTGTTTCCACCTGGCAATAAGGGAAAAGGCTGCCCGCCCTGGATCTCAGTGTCCTTTCGCTCAGGCCCAGGGTTTGGGCGACAGGGACTCTGAGCTTGCCTCAGGGACAGAGATATTTCAATCAGTCCCCTCTGTGTAGGAAAGAAACAGGACTCAGATAGGTGGCATATCTTTCGTATAGGAAACTATTTGTGGCCTGGATTTAAATAAATTTTGGAAACGGTGGAAGGTGACAATCAAGTTCCCTGAGGACCCAGCCTGTGGCCTGGCTCTCCCCGTGGAAACCCATGTCTGCTCCGCGTCACCACACAGTAGTTCACATTTTCACATTCTTTCCGAGGCGCCTGCGTCTGCAAGATCAGCACCGTTCCTCCCCGCGGGGCCCAGGCTGCCCCTGACCCCGAGAGAACGGTGCCATCAGCAGGACTCTCGGACCCGTTTGGCTGCTCTGCCTGGGGTCACGCACACCCCGGTTTCAGCAGCTGGGGACACCTGTGAGCCCCGTTTACCCCCCACTGCGTGCACTCAGATCTGCACTCTCTTTGTGCCTCAAACCAAACACATTGTCTCTCCCCATAAAAACCTGTTTCTGACGCCCTTCTCTGGGTTCAAGGTTGGGAATTTATAGACCATTGTTCAGAACCGGAGCAATCTGGTGGGGAGAGGCAGGGTGTTATTAGTCGCTGTGCGGGGACAGCAGATGCTCCGGGCGCCCGGGAGGCTGGAACACACGGTGTCCTGGTGAGAGCGCGGCCCCTCCCCGGAGCCAGCCCGGAGCCTGACCCCCTCTCCCCGTCACACAGGCACCTGCAGCCAGAGCCACGTGGGCGCCACGTGAGAGCGGAGCAGGGACAGGATGTCACCGCGGGGCCGGAACCGCCTCCCGCGTCCCCTCTGTCACCACGTCCTGCTGACTCTGCTGCCAGACACCGGAGACCTTTGTCCGCCCGGGTCCCTCACACTGCTGGGTTCAGGCCTCACCTCTCCCCCTTGGGGTGTTGTCTAGATTTCAGTCTCTGCCCCCCCTCCTGAAAGCCGTCCATGTGCGTTTTCTCCTTTACAGCACCCAGGCCCCTGGGGAGAGTCTCATTAGCGGGCGTCTGAGCTTGGCCGGTACAGGGTCCCCCGAAGTAGGGCCTTGCTCGCGGCCCTGCACTGGGAAGAACCCCGAGGGAACTGGGAGAAAGGGAAGGAGGGCAGAAGGCCCAGCTAGTGCGATCAGGCAGCGGCCCCCAGGGTCCTCGGGGGTCCCCAGCGGCCCCTGGCTGTGTCCTCTGGGGGTGGTCAGCGGAGCCTCGAGGCCACACCTCCCCTCAGCACGCCCGCCGGGCACACACTGGACGGGACGGTCATGCCCCCGTCCCCCGTGGGCGAAGGGTGCCGACAACTCCCTGTCGCCCAGGTGCCTGCCCAGTTGTCCTGACTAAGGGGGCTCCTGGCGGAGTCTGTGGGCAGCAGGGCCCTGGGCAGGTGAGAGTCGGGAGCAGCTGGGCGTGGGGCTGGGGCCACGGGACAGGCTGAGGGGCAGACGGGGGGCGGCAGGCTCTGTGCGCCTCTGGGGAGGGGCTTTTCTCGCCTCACAACATCTCTCCTTTCACATTGTGTTTCTTTGCGATAGATCTGTGGCATTTTCACAGAACCACGGCAAACATATGGAAGTTAACCTATTCCCTTGATTTAATGCAATTAATTTCTTTACAATATTTTTTTATTAAAAAAAAAATAGCCAAGAAAAGAGGCCAGCCAGCCTCCAAGCTGCAGAAGTAACACAAATAGTATTTTGTAAATGCCCCAACCAGATACTTTGGCCCCAATGACACTGCTATCTCCATAATATAAAACAGTTGTTTTTATTTGGACCCCATGGAAATGGATGCAATTTCTTTACCATTAATTCAATTCAACACTGAATCTGTCCCCCAAACAAAGAAAACCAATGGCTTTAGTATTTCCTCCCTGAAGCCTTTCAGCACTGTCCCAAATTCAATTCACATGATTTCACGTGCTGGAAACCAAACACACAGATCATGACAATTTTTTAAAAGTGTGTAAATACAGAGCAAACTAAGAAGAATTATCTCTAAGCTAATAATATACCCTACATTTTAAATGCAGATTTAAATAAAATTTCATTTGATAGAAAAATAGGGTGACTTGGTAAACAGTTATCAAATTATTAAGAAGTTTTATTCTATTTATTTTATGGGTATTTATGTTCCCAATCTTTGTATTAATAGCTTATAATGGAAAACAATGTTTCACTTACTCAGACACACCCACTTTTAACGTGGCTCTTTTCAAACGCCCTCAAAGTGAAACACGATTATTACGTGTTTTACGGATGAGGGCTCTGAGGCTCAGGGACGTCAACCTACTTGGCCGAGGTCACACAGCGTCTGGGGGAAGACCTGCCCCCGGGGCTGGGAGCAGGGCCTGGAAAGCGGTAGGGCCTTCGTCAGGAGTCAAGTAAAACAGTCACAGGGAGAAACACACGGTTGGGACGGGTCGACCTGATGCCCCAGGGGGTACTGCCAAGGACGAGCTAACACGTGGAGCCTTTTGTGGCAGCGAGGCAGCCCAGGCGCCCTGCGTGCACAGGAGGGAGGCTCAGGCACAGACAGGTGTCACCTAGAAAACGAAAACCCGAAAACCCACAAGACAGAACTCACAGAAACAGGGAGCAGAGCGGCTGTCATGGCGGGGG